CATGTGCTGAGCTAACAGGCTAGCTGCCATGTGCTGAGCTGACAGGCTAGCTGCCATTTGCTGAGCTAACAGGCCAGCTGCCATTTGCTGAGCTAACAGGCCAGCTGCCATTTGCTGAGCTAACAGACTAGCTGCCATGTGCTGAGCTAACAGGCTAGCTGCCATGTGCTGAGCTAACAGGCTAGCTGCCATTTGCTGAGCTAACAGGCTAGATGCCATGTGCTGAGCTAACAAGCTAGCTGCCATTTGTTGAGCTAACAGGCTAGCTGCCATTTGTTGAGCTAACAGGCTAGCTGCCATTTGCTGAGCTAACAGTCTAGCTGCCATGTGCTGAGCTAACAGGCTAGCTGCCATGTGCTGAGCTTACAGGCTAGCTGCCATTTGTTGAGCTAACAGGCCAGCTGCCATTTGCTGAGCTAACAGGCCAGCTGCCATTTGCTGAGCTAACAGACTAGCTGCCATGTGCTGAGCTAACAGGCTAGCTGCCATGTGCTGAGCTAACAGGCTAGCTGCCATTTGCTGAGCTAACAGGCTAGATGCCATGTGCTGAGCTAACAAGCTAGCTGCCATTTGTTGAGCTAACAGGCTAGCTGCCATTTGTTGAGCTAACAGGCTAGCTGCCATTTGCTGAGCTAACAGTCTAGCTGCCATGTGCTGAGCTAACAGGCTAGCTGCCATGTGCTGAGCTTACAGGCTAGCTGCCATTTGTTGAGCTAACAGGCTAGCTGCCATTTGTTGAACTTACAGGCTAGCTGCAATTTGTTGAGCTAACAGGCTAGCTGCCATTTGTTGAGCTAATAGGCCAGCTGCCATTTGCTGAGCTAACAGACTAGCTGCCATGTGCTGAGCTAACAAGCTAGCTGCCATTTGTTGAGCTAACAGGCTAGCTGCCATGTGCTGAGCTAACAGGCTAGCTGCCATGTGCTGAGCTAACAGGCTAGCTGCCATTTGTTGAGCTAACAGGCTAGCTGCCATTTGCTGAGCTAACAGACTAGCTGCCATGTGCTGAGCTAACAAGCTAGCTGCCATTTGTTGAGCTAACAGGCTAGCTGCCATGTGCTGAGCTAACAGGCTAGCTGCCATGTGCTGAGCTAACAGGCTAGCTGCCATGTGCTGAGCTAACAGGCTAGCTGCCTGACTGTGGGGCAGAACCTGACTGTGGGGCAGAACCTGACTGTTGGGGCAGAACCTGACTGTTGGGGCAGAACCTGACTGTGGGGCAGAACCTGACTGTGGGGCAGAACCTGACTGTTGGGGCAGAACCTGACTGTTGGGGCAGAACCTGACTGTTGGGGCAGAACCTGACTGTTGGGGCAGAACCTGACTGTGGGGCAGAACCTGACTGTGGGGCAGAACCTGACTGTTGGGGCAGAACCTGACTGTTGGGGCAGAACCTGACTGTGGGGCAGAACCTGACTGTTGGGGCAGAACCTGACTGTGGGGCAGAACCTGACTGTTGGGCCCCTCTTGCTGCTAAAACATCAGAACCTCTAGCAGCTTCTGTTGGATTTAATCTGGGAGATTAAAGTAGATTAACTGGCCAACCTGAAAACTATCAGTTCTAATTACAGTTTATTAATTTATATTTGTCAACAAACTCAGCATCAGGTTGTTGCTGTGGTAACAAACAATCTAACTATGAATATTGTTCTTTGATCTTTTATAAAATAAACTTTCCAGCTCCTTAAAAGTACATTTAAATGTTAAACAATTTAAAATCTTTTAGTTTATGTTAAAACTGTGACATCAAATTTAGCAGCATTGATCATCTCAATAAAAGAAGGTTTCATTTCTGCTTCTGTGTTAAAATATGATTATTTCTGGCCCCTGAAGCCCTGGGGGCCCCTGAAGCCCTGGGGGCCCCTGAAGCCCTGGGGGCCCCTGAAGCCCTGGGGGCCCCTGAAGCCCTGGGGGCCCCTGAAGCCCTGGCGGCCCCAGGAGCCCTGGGGGCCCCTGAAGCCCTGGGGGCCCCTGAAGCCATGGGGGCCCCTGAAGCCATGGTGGCCCCTGAAGCCCTGGGGGCCCCTGAAGCCATGGGGGCCCCAAAGAGCCCTGGGGGCCCCAAGGAGCCGCTGCCTTAATGTGGATTGAACAAAAGTGCAAATAATTCATATTCATGGAAAATTGGATTTGTTGTTTAGACCGGTGACGGTTTCAATAGTTTCACTCTCCATGTTTTCCTCTAATTCATAATTACCCAGTAATATGTTTACATTTCCTGTCAATTTAACATTTTTACAACAGAAACACGGCGGACCCCCCGCTGGGCTGAGCAGGTCGCCTGGGAAACCCTGACAACTTTGTCCAGGTCGGCTGGTACCAGTTCACCGGACCATCTGGTCCACCTCCAACTGTGCTGGGCTGCAGGATCGACCCGGACCCGACCCGGAGACGGATCGACCCGGACCCGGACCGACCCGGACCCGACCCGGACCCGGACCGACCCAGACCCGACCCGGAGACGGATCGACCCGGACCCAGACCGACCCGGAGACGGATCGACCCAGACCTGAACTAGAAACAGGACCAGAACCAGAACCAGGACCAGAACCAGGACCAGAACTAGGAGGAGCCTCTCTTCTGGCTTGGTTCCTCCTGGTTCTGGTACCAGCTTCTAATCATTCTAATGGGTCGATTTTTGTCTTCAAGGTTGTGAGCTGCAACCAGAAACTTCTACTGGGGCGACGGTTCAGAACAAGAACCTGGAGAACTTGTTCGGAACCGGACCAGACTGCTCTGATCCAACGGGTCAAGCATGAAGCTATCAGGTCCATCAGAACCTTCTGGGTGGTTCTGAATCGCTCCACACCCATCACATAATCCGGGTTAAACCGGATGTGAGGCAGTTCCGGTCTGCTTCCTCTGATTGGACCAGGATCCACAGAGCCGGAACCGCAGAGCCCGGTGATCCAGAAACCTCTCGAACCGCAGCACAGAGCCGAACCGCGTATCCAGGTGAGGTTCGGGTCTCACCTGCCTCCTTTCTGTCTCCGCTCCGGAAGTTCCTCTGTGATCACGTGAGCACGTTGCAGCCGCCGGAAACGGACTCCTTCAGACTCGTCATGTTCGGCTGGGCTCGGTTCGGTTCCAGTCAGAGCAGACCTGGACGGGCGGTTCAGCGGGTGTTTTGGTGGGCTCCTTCTTCTGCTGCTGCGGTGAAAGCGGAGGTCGGATTTACCGCCCCCAGCGGCACAGGAGGGAATACAGCTGAAAACACGAAGTTTCTCGCGAGATTTCGGCCTTTTCTCACTGACCCTGTTCTGACGATCTGAGCTACTCGTCAGATTTCCCTACCGCAGCACGGATCGACAGCTGGCTCTGTCTGTCCGTGCTACCGTCTAAAGCTGCTACCGCCATGTTACAAACAAACTGCAGCGGCTTGTTAATGTTCAATAATTGGATCATTTAGTGACTGGAAGCTTAGCAGTTCTGGTTAGCTTAGCATTGAACAATGATGTGATGATGAAACCAGAAGCAGATCACTTCCTTCATCTGAATATCCTACCAAAGTTGAAATGAAAAGCTGCAGATGCAGCTGATCCTTTCCTACAATATCTAGCTGTTAATATCTGAGACACAGAGGCGTTTGTTAGAATAAAACCGGATCAGATGGAAACAGCTTTTATTGGAATTAAACACTAATCTAGATCACCACAGATCTTTTTTGTGCATTAATACTTTATATTATATATATATTATATGTTATCAGCATCAGCCACAACAAGTCACTGAAATGATGGGATATGATTCATATGCACTGATATTACAGGCCTTGACAACTTCAGTCCCACATCTATTTAGCAAAGTTTGATCATTAATAAAAAGTGTAATTAAACTAAAGTATTTTAAAAGTATAGCTCAAAAACATATTCAGTCCTGATGATGACTGGACCAAACTAAAGCCAGAATTCTGCTAGTAATCCAGCAGCTTCATGAAAGCTGCTAGAAAATAAATAAAGTTTCTGATGCAATGAAATAAAACACCTGAATGAAACTTCCACAGGTAGGAGAAGAAATCTGCTGAGTCAGCAGAATGTGACGTAGTGTTCAGGTAGGACGGATTGACAGGTAGCTCAGATAAACAACACCTGCTCAATGATTTATCACAGTATCATCAGTCAACATCAATATTGACCCGTTACATGATCAGTTATTCATAAACAATCAGAGAAACAAATTCAGCTGCAGTTCCGTCACCATAGCTACCAAGAAACCTGCCAAAATAAAAGCACATCGCCTCCACGGTTGTTGAAATAAGCTGCTTTTATTTTGGCAGGTCGTTTAGTCTATAAACAACATTTAGTCCACGGTCGTCCAGTCGGACCCGGTTCTGGGAACATCCGGACCCCTGCTGGTTCTCAAACTGAAGTCAGCTTCTGATTCGCTAAAGGGAGATTCCGCCTACTTTTTAAAACTCTAAATCGACTTTAATCTGCTGAAATACAGAGACTGTGATGTCATTACTGTAATATCTGCAATGATGTGAATATTTTATCAGAATAAATCACTTTTTACTCACATCTGGATGGAACAGAATCACTGGTTAAACATGTATAACGATGAAGGGAATCTTATAATAAATTGAATTTATCCTCTACAATGTGTCACTGCTAATCATCAATCAATAAGGGTTATTGATTGGAGATGTTGTCACAACAGAAATGCTCCAACGATCAGTGGAGCAGAGGAAGCTCTTCCTTTCACATGGAGACGATTCCTCTGACACGGTTCATGTCTCAGATATTCTGCAAACAACCAGGAAATCAATCTTTGATGAAAGATCATTTTTAATAACGTTTTGGACAAAGAGACATTTAATAAACTGTTGCTGCTCCTCAGTTATAAGTCAAACATCAGATACTAAAATATCAAAAAATAAGGAAGAAAGATATTCTGGACAAGTTCAGGGTTCACGACCTTTCTGCTAGACAAACTATGTCTCCCCGTCACCTCTGACCTTTGTGCTGCTGCTGCTGCTGATGATGATGATGATGCTCATTAGTGGTTTTTATTACTATTATTATAAGTTCAAACAAACCCGCCTTCCCCTGTGGACGACACCATGGTGACTAATTGGTCTCAGTGACCTGCTGCTTGGCGTTGAGTCTGGACTGAAGAACCGGTCCAGAACCCCCTCCAGCTGTTCCTCGCTGTAGTCCACCACCAGGAAGCGCCGCCCATCCGCCGCCCCTCGGATCATGGCCGACAGCGCTGCAGAGGCAGGAAGTTAACACCCTGATGACCAAATCACATCAACCTGCACAGGAAGTGACCTCACCTCGTCCTGACGACGGCCGGAACAAACACAGCACCTTCTTGTCCTCCATGTCCAAGGCCCGGCCCAACTCGTAGCCGACGCCCAGGGACGGCCGCGTCACCTCGGCAACCACCACTGAGACACATAGGGGTCAGAGGTGAGCGACCCACCCCTCTGGGACCGACGCTACGATCCGGTCTTACCGTCAGACTGCGCAGCCAGGCCAGGTCTCGGTCATGGATGGCTCTGTCGCCCCCTGCTGGACCTCTCTCTCCTGACCAGTCAGAGCACAGCTGGTCATTGACATCACATGACCAATAACCAATCAGCAGCAGCAATGCAATTCATCAATCCTGAACAAATTCATTCATGAACTAATGAACATTGTGGCCATTTGGTCCCAAACATCCTGAGCAGCTCTAGCTTGAAAGAGAAGATTTCAAATAAAAGCAGATTTCTTGAGACATGCCCACCAATATGGCCACCTTGTTTCCTTCCTGTTCCTGCATCGTTAGCAGACAGTAACTCTGCAGCAGCAGCTGGTTGTTAACAGCTTTGAACATTATTTTGCAAATCCTGAGCCTCTCAGTGACCTGCTGCTTGGAAGGTCACTGAGAGGACTCCATGCTCAGGATTTGCAGCCAAGCCGAGAATCTGAAAAGGGGACGTAATATTTTGCTATTAATGGTCAACGCTACGACAGCAAGGTCAGATCCAAGGGAATCAGCTGGGTGAAACGTTTGACCTGCAGCACTCTAACATGTCTGTGGGTCACAGCCTGATGCTGCACCTGACAATATGAAGCCGCTGTGTTTCAATTCAGTTCACTCAGAAACAAGCGACCCAAACATCTACTCCCTGGACAGACGATCAGTGAAGCAGCTGCTTAAAGACGCTACCAGCCAAACTGACAGAAACCAAACTGTTTCTGGGTTTGAATCCAGACAGATGGAGATCTGTGACACATCCCAACATCGGCGCTCCTATTCAAGCCAAAAACGTCTAGAAACTGGAAAGGCACCGCAGGGGGACGTCACTAGCCGTAGCAGCGGCTAATGGGCCGCCGTAGCAGCGGCTAATGGGCCGCCGTAGCAGCGGCTAATGGGCCGCCGTAGCAGCGGCTAATGGGCCGCCGTAGCAGCGGCTAATGGGCCGCCGTAGCAGCGGCTAATGGGCCGCCGTAGCAGCGGCTAATGGGCCGCCGTAGCAGCGGCTAATGGGCCGCCGTAGCAGCGGCTAATGGGCCGCCGTAGCAGCGGCTAATGCGCCGCCGTAGCAGCGGCTAATGGGCCGCCGTAGCAGCGGCTAATGGGCCGCCGTAGCAGCGGCTAATGGGCCGCCGTAGCAGCGGCTAATGGGCCGCCGTAGCAGCGGCTAATGGGCCGCCGTAGCAGCGGCTAATGGGCCGCCGTAGCAGCGGCTAATGGGCCGCCGTAGCAGCGGCTAATGGGCCGCCGTAGCCCGGAGCCTCACGGTGGATCTGCTCCCAGACTGGCCTCTCTTCTACGAAGGGCTGCGGTTTCTGAGCGCTCAGCAGAACCAGGCAGGAAAAGGCAACGACTTATTGTGATCATTCTTCACAGGAATGTTGGTGGATTTTGTGATTGTTGAGCAAATCTACAGACTTCCTGAAAACGACAAAATGTTAAGAGTTGCATCACCAAGGCAAAGACTTTATTGATGAAGTAGAACGTTTCTGAAGACGTTCCAAAGTGGGCCCGTCGGGTAGAACCAGCGTTCTGATGCTAACATTTAGCATCAATGCTAAACTTAGCTAAATCCTATCAATAGCATGTTGACCAATGAGGACTGACTCCATTCGGTAGGTTTAAACTAGAGCGTGAGCTAACATGAGCCAAAATGCTAATGTTAGCTTAAACGCCGTCACTAGCATGTTGTCTTACATTGAATTTCTCCATTCAGTGTGCTGAACACAGCTAATGCATGAAACAGCTAAATGCTGATTTTGGGGAGAAGGGTGATGCTAGCATAGCTTTGCTCCCCAGAGCGCTAGCTCTGCTAATGTTGTGCTAACGTGGAGCAATAGGTGCTCCAGGCACTGCTTAACTCTTACAGTGTTGAATAGCTATTAATCAGGACGCATCTGCTCATTCTTTGGCTTTAAATCTCCCTTTTGGCTCCAGCGCCTTCCTCTTCCTCAGTATCAGAGGCTCCGACCCGCCTGGGTCCGGGCCATCAAAAACTCAAAAGCGCATGCGCGTCCCACCTGAGTCGCCGAGCTCGGCGCAAGCCACGTGTTCAGTGAGCACGCTCCCGTATCTGCTCAGCGCGTTCACGATCCTCCGGTAGAGCAGCTGGTCCGACCTGCCGCCCCGGATGCTGCCGCAGAAATAGATCTTCATGCTGGACCGGGCCGGTTCCGAACCGCCTCTGCTGTTGGCTGTCTGAGCCGCGGTTCCACTTCCGGCCTGTTCCCGCGGAGCGCTCATTGTTTCCGCTTCCCCTTAAAGAGTTATTTCCGGTTCCCGTGGCGACATAGATGCAGCCGAGGACCCATCGATATCCATCAGTATTGATCATTGATCAGCCTCTTGAGTTTTCTGTTTTGATTGTCCCTCCCACAATGAAAGACCTTTGACCTCCAAAAACACCTTGCAGGACTGAACACGAGTTCAATGACGTAGCAAGAAATGAAGTTTCACCAAGTCAGAGACATTTACTGTGGAGAGCAGAAGGTACCTGAACTCACCTGTGTGGGAGGAGCTAAAGGGAGAGAGCTCAGCCTGCGGGGGCGGGGCTTAGAGGACCTGCTGCTGATAGTGAGGGGACAGATAACACCAGGACAAGATGGCGGAGAGAGTAATGATCATTATTGATCAATAATCAATTCTTATTCTCAGTTTTGGATCATTTATGTTTTGGAGTAAATTGTAGGAACTTAATTATTGGTTTATATCCAAACATTAATATTTGTGTGAAACTCCCTGGAGGCTTTGCTGCTGATTTAACATTAATATTTCATCTCATTTCCACTTTTCTCTGTAATTTAGGAATATGAACAATTCATGATCAGATCGGTGCAGACACTGAGAAATCAGACGCGTCAGCAGTTAATATGACGTCACTGCTGCGTTCAAACAAGCAGCTTCCAACCATAACGGATCCAACCAAACTTTTTCAGAACCTGAAGTTTTGAAAACAAGATTAAAGACGATAAATCCAAACTTCACTCACGGCTTCAGGACCAATTTACTCCTCAAACATGGAAATTTGTCCAGATTGATATCGTCAACCTGCTGCTGTCGTTAAAACTATTAACCCAATCAACTTTATTGGGAGGAACAGGCCACAGGAAAGGTCATAGGTCAAAGAAATCAAAGATGGCGTCTGAAAGTAGCCAACTGGATTAATAATGAATAATTCTCAGTTATGTTGGTATTGTCTCTCTCATTATATATTAACACAATAATGGTCTAAAACTTGTAGCTGTTTTCAATAAACATAAATTTCTTATTAAACTATCAGTTCCATAAAATGTTACTGTCTGGAAAATGCTGTCCATCATATGCAATAACAGATTCATACGTCACAATAAAGTCTTATTTTACGGATTGGCTGCAGGAGAATATATTAGACACTTAATGGCTGCATGTTAAACTACAACAATTCTGTGCAAAATATCAATTCTTTCCCCCAAAAGCTGAATTTACCAGATCATATGATATCAAAACCATTTATTCATCAGAATACAGATATAATAACATATCATCCAATGACCCCAAGAAACTTTATTTCCTGAAAAATAATTTAAAAAAAACATTTTTTGCAAGTTTGAGATCGCTTTGATATCGATGACAATAAACGATAAAGCAAGTCATGAACGCAGTCAGACCGAAATATTCTGGGACTGATCAGAAAGGCGGATCAAACTGAAAATTGCACTTCCTGAATCTATTTCTAGAGTTATGGTAACTTATGGAGTGTTACTGCAAAACAATAGAGCTCAAATATGTAACCTAAGATTTTGTTTATTCATAAACAGACAGCTGAGATGAGCCACAGTTTTTAACATTTTTATCTTTATTGCAGTTATATTTGAAATCTCTGAGATGTGTTGCATCATCAGATACCTGACTGAATTATCGAACTACTGATGTATATTAATGCTAACATATGAATCCTCCTGTTGCTACATTATTATCATCAATATTACTTCCATCCATCCATCATCTGCCGCTTATCCGGGGTCGCGGGGGTTGCAGCTTAAGAAGGGAGGCCCAGACTTCCCTCTTCCAGCCACTTCGGGGGAACCTGAGATGTTCCCAGGCCAGCCGGGAGACAAAGTCCCTCCAGAGTGTCCTGGGTCTTCCCGGGTCTCCTCCCAGTGGGATCTCCACCAGGAAGGCGTCCAGGAAGCATCCTGACCAGATGCCTGAGCCTCAACTGGCTCCTCTCGATGTGAAGGAGCAGCGGCTCTACTCTGAGTCCCTCCCGGATGACTGAGCTTCTCTCTTGAAGGGAGAGCCCAGCCACCCAACGGAGGAAACCCATTTCGGCCGCTTGTATTCGATCATGGGTCATGATCGAATGACCCATGTATTCGTTCTGTCGGTCATGACCCAAAGCTCATGACCATAGAAGAAGGTAGGAACGTAGATCGACCAATAAATCGATAGCTTTGCTCTTCACTTTGATGGACCGGTACAGTTTCATCGCTTCACTGTAGACCCTACTCCAATCCGTCTGTCGATCTCCCATTCCCTTCTCTCATTCGTGAACAAGATCCATTCGGATCTTTTGAACTCCTCCATTCGGGGCAAGACATCCCCCTCGACCCGGAGAAGGCACTCTACCCTTTTCCGGCTCAAGACCACGGCCTCAGATTAGGAGGCACTGATCATCATCATCCCGGCCGCTTCGCACTCGGCTGCGAACCGCTCCAGCGAGAGCTGCAGAGATTACAACCTGATGGAGCCAACGAACCACATCATCCGCAAAAAGCAGAGATGCGATCCTGAGGCCACCAAATCGGATCCCCTCAACGCCTTGACTGCACCTAGAGATTCTGTCCATGAAAGTAATGAACAGAATCGGTGACAAAGGGCAGTCCTGGCGGAGTTCAACTCTCACCAGAAACGAGCCCGACTTACTGCCGGCAATGCGGACCAGACTCTGACACCGGTCGTACAGGGACCTGACAGCCTGTATCAAAGGGCCCGGTACCCCCAAACTCCTGGAGAACCCCCACTGGACACCCTGAGGGACACGGTCAAACACCTTCTCCAAGTCCACAAAACACATGTAGACCGGTTGGGGAACTCCCATACACCTCCTGGACTCTGCTGGGGTTGTAGAGCTGGTCCAGTGTTCCACGACCAGAAAAAAGAATCACACTGCTCTTCCTGAATCTGAGGTACGACTATCCGACGGACCCTCCTCTCCAGGACCCTTGAATAGACCTTGCTAAGGAGGCTTAAGAGTGTGACCCCTCTATAATTGGAGCACATTCTGCACGGATCGCAGCAGACTGTGTTCCAACTCCTGCAGCTGGATCCTTTATGCCTCAGTCTGACCTGTTGGGGTTAGCTGGGGTAAGGAGGGAACCATCAGTTTGTTTGTTATGGTAGGCTGTGCCGCCTGGTGGCAGAAATACAGAACTGCACCTGTTGCCAGTTCAGAACCATTAGATGGGAATCAAATCTTTATTAACATGTTGAACACACTGACATGTTTCAGTTTCTGTGAAGGTTAGACAAACTGAGATTTCCCAGAGTTTCTAACTGACTCAAACGCAACATCTGTAATAAACAACAAAGATAAAAACAATAATAAAGACGCTGAAGGTATGGAGAGCAGAAGGAGAGAGAAACCCAGAGAACCAGAACCAGAGAGAAAGAAACCCTGACCGAGCCCGGACCGGACCCTGACCGGATCCGGACCGAGCCCGGACTGGACCCTGACCGGATCCGGACCGAGCCCGGACCGGATCCGGACCGGACCCTGACCGGATCCGGACCGAGCTCTCACTGGGCCCTTCACAGACTCCTGGCGGTGGCGTTCAGGGTCACCTGGTGAACGTTTCGGGCCACCCTCTCCATGGCCGCCGGGTCGGGTCCTTCCAGAGAGTCTAGCAGACCTGGAACAGAACCAAGCAGATCATGAGTCGGTTCTGACCCAAATGAGCCGCCCAATCCCGAGAGAACATTTGGATCCGGAGCTGCAGAACCGGGCCGCGATATGCTATAAACATGCTGCTATAAACATGGCGAGTTTTTCTCTCTGATGGTTAAACTGGGTGAACTGGTTCCATCAACCATCCATCCAGTAAAATTGTTTTCATAATAAGGTCTCGGTGTGTAACGGAACCGATCCGTTCCACTGGGACGCATCGTCTCAACAAACCCAGGAAACCCATTCACTAAAGTCGAACACGACGAGACGTGGTCCAATCAGCTCTGTGTTCGGACCCGGTTCTGGTTCTGACCCGATTCTGACCTTCCAGAATGCGGTGGTAGCTGAAGTGCAGGTACAGCAGGAAGCTCATGTGCAGCAGCGCCAGGGAACCGCAGAGCAGCAGCCGCGGCGTCTGGCCCACCGTCCGGGAGAGCAACACCGCCACCTGCAGGACACACAGGGAATGAGGAGCAGGGGCTGATGGGAAACGGGGCTGAGGCAGGGGTTGATGGGAAACGCAGTCCTACCATGCGCAGCGTGGACAGTCCGCCCAGCAGCAGCCACAGGCCGTAGAACAGGAAGTGGAAGTGGATGTTGTAGTGACCAGGAGGACCACGCAATGCCCGAACAGGCCGTAACCCTGGCGACAGGAGACAGGAAGTGATGTCAGGGGGAGCTGGGGGGCAGGGGAGGTGCAGTACCCACCAGCAGGGAGAGCATTTGCAGCAAGGTGATCTGAGCGTTGACCAGGTAGGCCAAGAAGAAGACGAAGCAGGAAACGCCGAGCCAGTAGCCGAAGCACTCCCGATGGCCGTCCCCATGAGGGTGCCCTCCACCTAGTGACGGAAGGAGGGACAGGTGAGGACAGGTGAGGACAGGTGAGGACAGGTGAGGACAGGCCGGGGGCGGGCTTACAATGACGGTCCCGAAGTCTTCATGCCGTGCAGCAAGATGGCCACCAGGGTGAAGACCAGCATCAGAGGGCCGTACAGCTCCCCCGCCACCTTCTGCAGAGGAAGCACAGCAGCTCACCTGGAGCTCACCTGGAGAGGGCGGGGCTTACTGCAAGAGGGGCGGGGTTTACCTGGGGGAAGGTGATCATGCGGACGGGTATCATGGACTCCAGCAACCTGGCGAGGGGAAAGGCTAGCTTAGCATGGGATCAGGAAGCAGCTGACAGGACGCAGGAAGTGGAGTTCTCACCTGCAGCGCACCTGGGCGGGCTCCACGTCAAAGTACGGCCTGAGGATGTCGATGTTGGCGTAGAGGTTGAAGGCTCTGGACGCCTGCCGCTTCCCCGCCTGCCACACCTGGAGGAAACAGAGGGAGGGGGCGGGGCTTATAGCATCCTCTCGTCACCATAGCAACATTCCAGCTCCCATCCGTCGGCACGCACTCACCTCGTCCGCCACCTGCCGACCCAGCTGACCTTTTAGCCCCTTCACACCAAGGAAGTCGTCAGCGCCGTCGGCGTCGGCGGCCGCCGCCTCCTCGGCCACTTCCTGTTCCTCCCTCATCCTCTGGTGCAGCTCGCCAACGTCCTCGAAACTGGAGCCCGACGTGTCGTCCATGTTCTCCATGTCGATGACCGCCGCACCGCCGCCCTGAGGACGCATCATAGCCGGTGCTGATACCAAACGGACCGGGTTAGGTCAGGTCCGTTTGAGGACCAGGACATCCAGCTGTTCCCGGTACCGGGTCAATTTATTCAGCTGTGTAACCAGAACCAGCAACTCTTCAGTGTTTCACCGTTGGACTGAACATGGCGGTGCTGATGACGTTTAATGGAAGAACCCGGAAATAAACGTCTGTCCATCTCAGAGCAGGTAGAGGACAAGCACATGGTGGCGCTAGAGAGCTGGGGGCTGTACTGTTAATCCTGTCACTGACAAAACACGTAGCTGACGGCTGATGAGGCCAAAGCTAACATAAAGCTCGAGCTAACTCAATGCTCACAAAGCTAAAGCTAACATAAAGCTACCAAAAACACAAAGCCGATGCTAATACAAAGCTAAAGCTAACATAAAGCTCGAGCTAACTCAATGCTAACTTGAATACAAAGCTAAAGCTAATATAAAGTTGACTCAAACACAAAGCTAAAGCTAACGTAAAGTTGACGCTAACACAATGCTAACATGAACACAAAGCTAAGGCTAACACGAAGCTAGTAAGAGTCTGGGCAGAGTTCATCCATGAAACTGGTTGATTATTAAAGTCCATGTAGCTTCAGATTGTTGTCCAGGTTAACTTGAACTATGAACTTTTATTGTCTCAGGTTTCTTTTCTAAACTACAGAAAAGTAGTTTAGAAAACTACATATTGAATATCAGCATTAATATTGATATTAACAGAATTGTGCCATAATTTTCATATGGCAGAATTTTATTTTATCAAATGTTTTATTCGATTACTCCATTAATCATCAGAATAATCAATTACTAAAGTAATACTTACAACAATCCTAATCAGAAAATGAAGTGGGTCTTTCAGAACCAGCAGAGGTCCAGATGTTGGGTCCAGAAACACTTTGATGGTTTCAGACCCGGTTCAGTCCAGCTGAACAAACCTGATCAGAACCATCAATGTTCCCCACCGACCCGGTTCTAGTCTTAGTAGAACCGGGTTTATTTCTGGTTTCAGGCTTAAACTGACCAGAACCGAGGGGAGGTCGGGTCCATTTCTGTGAAATTCAGGCAAAGAAGCTGATGGTCAGGAAAATGGATGTGGATAAAATTCTGGTTCTGTTTCAGTTCAATGAATTGGTTCTGGAGTTGTTTGAATAAATAAAGAATAACTCCAGAACCTTCGGATGGACTGGTTCTGGTGTTATGGGTTAACTGGTGGCGGCAGCTGGCAGATGTTGGTGTGGGCGTGGCTTTTTAGGACCCCTTTACTGAACCAGGAAGTAAACAAGGCGATGAGCTTGAAAAACCATCAGATTCTGTAAGAAGCCCATGAAGATCTCGGTAATAACTAATTAGAAAGATGTTTATTGGTCTAACATGCTATGTTGCCTTTTTTATTTTACATTAATCTACAAAATCACCAAAACATGCAGATTTGTCAGAAGTTGTCCTGATTTCTATGTTCCTTCAGAGGCTGAAACTCGTCAATGGAAGATGGAAACAGATCTCAAAGATTCATCCCTGATAAATCTTAAAGAGCCATAAATGATTAAAAAGATCAACTGGAGGACCTGAAAAGGATCAACTACCTGTTACTCATTTTCCCACAAAGAGATATTTCAGAGTTTTGAAACCTTACAGAAGGATCACAGACTGGAAAACATGATTTCTTTCGGTACCTGCAGGAGAGACATTATTTTAATAGATGTTTTAAAGAACGGATGACAGAAAGCGATTCAAGTTTCATTTTTATCACTAATTAAACCTGGACGAGACAGCAGAATTATCTCCAAATTATATAACGATATAAGCTATCTAAACATGAGAATCCAGAATACATCAAGAGGAAATGGGAAAAGAAATGAAGGCAACAATCTCAGCAGAAGGCTGCAGTGGATCTCGACTGGATCAAACGCATGGCAGGACTTTTGCTGGAAAAATGATGTTTCATTCCACGCATTCAGAGACGATACCAAAGCAACGGGGCGCTGCTTATTTATAGAAGTCATGGCTACTGCAGATCTATGTGGCATTTATTCTCTATTGTTGATATTTTGTCTTTTAATTTAACTAAACAGCTTTATTCTTTTCATCAAGTGACTCCAACACTCAACCATAAGAGACAGAAACTATTGTCTTATAAATTTTTACATCAGAAACTGTTAAAATCTTCACTCAAACTAAGATTCTGAACGTTTCACAAGTTAATCCAGGTTTACTTCTTACAGCGCAAGGTGACCAGGATCAATAACAGGGTCATTGGATCAGGATCAATAACGGGATCATTGGATCAGGATCAATAACAGGATTATTGGATCAGGATCAATAATAGGGTCATTGGATCAGGATCAATAACAGGGTCATTGGATCAGGATCAATAACAGGATTATTGGATCAGGATCAATAACAGGCTCATTGGATCAGGATCAATAACAGGATTATTGGATCAGGATCAATAACAGGGTCATTGGATCAGGATCAATAACAGGATTATTGGATCAGGATCAATAACAGGCTCATTGGATCAGGATCAATAACAGGATTATTGGATCAGGATCAATAACAGGGTCATTGGATCAGGATCAATAACAGGATTATTGGATCAGGATCAATAATAGGGTCATTGGATCAGGATCAATAACAGGATTATTGGATCAGGATCAATAACAGGGTCATTGGAGGATCAATAACAGGATTATTGGATCAGGATCAATAATAGGGTCATTGGATCAGGATCAATAACAGGGTCATTGGATCAGGATCAATAACAGGGTCATTGGATCAGGATCAATAACAGGATTATTGGATCAGGATCAATAATAGGGTCATTGGATCAGGATCAATAACGGGATTATTGGATCAGGATCAATAACAGGGTCATTGGATCAGGATCAATAACAGGATTATTGGATCAGGATCAATAATAGGGTCATTGGATCAGGATCAATAACAGGCTCATTGGATCAGGATCAATAACAGGATTATTGGATCAGGATCAATAACAGGTCATTGGATCAGGATCAATAACAGGATTATTGGATCAGGATCAATAACAGGGTAATTGGATCAGGATCAATAACAGGATTATTGGATCAGGATCAATAATAGGGTCATTGGATCAGGATCAATAACAGGTTGTAAGTCCTCAAAATGCTGATATTTCGCTGATATTTCAATATATTTATCAATTTTCCTTCACATGCTAATAATTATTATTGTTGTTTTGAAAAGATCAAAGACATTTTCTAATCATTTTGATCAGGAAACGAATCAGACGCCTAAAGTCTCCAGGCAGCAGCGCTGAGGACCCGTGGGCTCACTGGTTAATGCCAAATCCAAACTGGTTCCCAGTGGAGACTGTAGATATGATCATAATGTTGATTATTATAACTTTATGTCATTGAGATGATTGATGGACGTTACTGTTAGTAAACACACAGCAACACATCAGTGATTTAAAGTTGATTCAATGTGATGACCTCATCGCTCAGCATCACTTCCTGTGACAGGTCGAGTCACTTCCTGTGACAGGTCGAGTCACTTCCTGTGACAGGTCGAGTCACTTCCTGTGACAGGTCGAGTCACTTCCTGTGACAGGTCGAGTCACTTCCTGTGACAGGTCGAGTCACTTCCTGTGACAGGTCGAGTCTCTACAGGATGAAGTTCAGAAACATTTTGGTTGCAGAGCCAGAAACTCTCAGCAGGATGGAAATGTTAATATCGCCCATTACAGGAAGCTGAGAGCCGATTCAATGATCAATAATCGATCAGTGCTGGTTAGAAAAGCTTCCACTCAGGCTCACATTCTGCTGTTCATGACAGGAAATGAATTGATTCTGGTGAACCTGGATGGGGTGGTCCTGTTTCTCATTGACCTGGTTCTGATCCAATGAAGCGAACTGATCGCTGCTCTGTAGAAACTTGTTTTGAAACGTAATTTTCACATGTAACAAAAAACGTATTTGCTTCAAACGGGATTTAAAGGAAAGTTTTGCAAATGGTTTTGTCACACAAGTAGCATTTTTTAGCAGGCATCAACACAGCCACCTACAATTCAGAAACATCTGCGGTGCGAGAAGGTTTCACCCAGTTAATTTTGCCACCAGTTAATCCATAACACCGGGTCAGTGTTCGAACCTGTGATCAGAACCAGAACCTGATGGTGATACCCATCAGAAGCTCCTGATCCGGTCGGATCCGTTCCTCCAGTTAGCAGGTTGGCGGGTCGGTTGGTTCTGTCAGCGGAGGCTAACATTAGCTTAGCCAGTGGGGTCATCTGCTGGCCGGACTGCTAGCAACAATTAATTAGGCTCTCGGTTCGCTAGCTGCTAGTTATCCCAGGTTTGACCCACCTGGATGAGCTGGTCGTCGAACCCTCCCCAGGGCTCCGTGCTCCGGCTCCCGGTCCCGGCAGACATCCTCACGCGGCGGCAGCTTCAGCTCCGGGTCCCGGGGTTCGGATAGTCGCTGGTTCTGGTGTCTGTGGACTTCTGGCGGACTCTAAACTGGACCGGTACCGATCACATCCGCCGATGTTTGTGTTTGTGACGTTACAGAGCCTTCGTGGACGAAGGAGATATCGCGAGGTTTCCATTCACGATGAGAATTCCGGCGCCTTTCTGAGATCCGACTCAGGCGGCTGAGTTCACCACAGAGATTCATTTGCTACTGCTATGGAGAGTCATTTCAGCCCAAAGCGGGAGAAGATGTGGACTCAGGGAGGGATCTCTCACGATGGCGGGTAACAGAAAGTATGACAGCAAAGCGCAGGAAGGAACAAGAAGAGCGCGACAGAGAGGTGTGAAGAAATATCCAAGCAAACGGGGGTGGGATCATCAGTGCTGATCCTGAGCCTGGGGTAAAAACTGATGAGCTGGTGTGGGTTTCTGGGCTGAACAAGAAGCAGGAACAGGTAAGTGCAGGGGGGGGGGGGGGGGGGGGGCAAGCAGGGCTGAGCACCTGCCCCTTTTGCTCCATGACACATTTACTATTTCTGACACATGTACTACAATTATAATAATAATAATAATTATTATTATTATTATTTTGCAAGCCCTCCGGTCACATTGTTACCTTTGACCTTTTGCCCGTGACCCACGACGCACTTGCCTGTCGCACAGTGAGATAAGGCGGTTAACTGCGGAGCTCAAGCTAGCAAATATCCCAGAGATTACAGAACAGTTTTTGGTGAATTAAAAGATAATTTTTGGTGCCAAAGCTGGAGTCGGCTTGCTACTGTCAGGTGACGCAGCAGGTGAGGCTTCAGGTGAGGCTTCAGGTGACGCAGCAGGTGAGGCTGCAGGTGAGGCTTCAGGTGAGGCAGCAGGTGAGGCTGCCGGTGAGGCTTCAGGTGAGGCAGCAGGTGAGGCTGCCGGTGAGGCTTCAGGTGAGGCTGCAGGTGAGGCTGCAGGTGAGGCAGCAGGTGAGGCTGCAGGTGAGGCTGCAGGTGAGGCTGCAGGTGAGGCTTCAGGGTGAGGCTGCAGGTGAGGCAGCAGGTGACGCAGCAGGTGAGGCTGCAGGTGACGCAGCAGGTGAGGCTGCAGGTGAGGCAGCAGGTGAGGCTGCAGGTGACGCAGCAGGTGAGGCTGCAGGTGAGGCAGCCAGGTGTCTTATGCAATAGGGGCACATCACTTGTCCAAAACCAGAATCATCTCCATCATGGATATGTGTCCAACTTTCTCATTTTCTTTGGAGCATGATGCACATTGCATTTATTCTAGTGTTAGGTAAATAAAAGTCCAACATTTCTATTCTATTCCATTTCTATTTCATTTAGAAATAGAAAGAATTCATCCTGAATTACCATGATTGATATAATGTATGTAATAATCAATCAAACTGCTTCTGTCATCAGTGAACGGGCAAACATAAACTTTTATTTGCACACATCAGAAATCTTTGGTTTGATTCCAGGCTCTGCCCAGATGTCATGTGAGAATCGCAAACAAAGATTTCTGACATGTGCAAAGAATTTTGTTTTGCAAATCATTTTTTTAAGTCAGGAGAAAAAAAATTGTGATTTCAATTTTTTAAAAACTGCATGTTTTTCTCCATGTTCTCCTCCAGAGGTCCTCAAAGTTTGTTCCTGGTTCCTCCACAGCGCACTCACTGAACCGCTGACTCCTGGTTCTGGTCCGGTTCTGGTCCTTCAGTGTTTCTGTGCTGAGTTCAGTCTGAGGAGTTCCCTCCATTTAGAGATCCAAACGTTAAATCTTTTGTTTATTTGCTGCAGTTCTATGTGTTTTAGTGAATAGTAAAGTTTGATTGATCTGCTGCTCAATTTAAAAAAACATTTTTCTGTCTCAATAGTTTTCATAAAAGTCCTAATTTACAATAAAATGTTTCCATCTTCCTTCTGACATATTTGAATGAATAGATTTTTTTCTTTAGTTAAATTTAAGGATTATTCAAAATACGCTATTGACGCAAAAGGGAAATGAAGGCTCTGCTGTAGCAGTCTGTGTTACAGCGAATCTGAAGACACTCAATGTTCCCAAAGATTTCTGATGAAGATGATCAGAGCTGGTCAGGGGTTTCTTGGTTTAATAAAGAAGCCATCTTATCGTCGTCATCATCTCCACAGTCAGAACCAGAACAGGACTGAGGCCCAGTGGACCAGAGTTCTGGTTCCAGTTGAAAATCGGGCTGGAGGAACAGAAAGTCCAGTGATGGTTCTGGTTCTGCTTTTTTACCAGCAGGGGGCAGCTTCACTCTGTCTTCTACTAACGAGCATTTCCTTCCAGTTATCGCGACATTCGGCTGCTGTCTTTCCGTGACGTAGTGACTGTGGGTCAGCAGCCGGGGTTCCGTTGAGGCGCTCGGCGTTCACCAATCGTTTTTGGGCTGCAGTGATACCGAACCGGTTCGGATAATTTATGACCTCCAAGTCCAGACTGCAGAGCAAAGCCACGCGGTGAGTGAAGCTCCAGAGCGGCTCCGTTTCGCCGTGGGATTTTCTGGTGTTTCATAAATGTTTTCTGACTAATTGGAGCTTTTCGGCTCTTCTTTTCGGATCTTCAGCTCAGTGTTTATGTTCCTTGCGCGACAGAGACACGTTGCCCGGGCTGAACAAGATATTTTTCCTAACCGTCCGGTCTGTCGCATTTTAATCATATTGAATATTCGGCACTGATTGTAGCGCCATCTTGCTGAATGCGAGCTGGTAGATGAGCTTCTCATCTCAGGTTTACGTTAACATGAACACAGTATGTAGTCAGAGTGGCTGTAATGACAGTTAGCAGTTGTAGCTGGTGTGACGGAGGCCAGGAGACAACATGGCGGTCAGTAAGGGGCATAGAGGGGAACCCCGGGATATTCCGGTCTCTAGGTAAGAGTTTCGCTCGGGACAGAACTCTCGGCCTGTCCCGAGCCGTCAATCTCCGGCTGTTCCGGGGCTTAGAGTCCTGAAAAGCGGCTGTTCCAGAGTGAGATACTGCCTCCCGCCGTCCTCATTGGCTGTTCCCAGCTGATTCCGCCCTCACTCTCAGTGTTTGTGGTGTCTACGTGCTTCTGTACAGACAGTAATGGCGTCCCTTTGAGTTCTCGGTGTGTGAGAGCGTTTAGCGCAGGATATCGCGAGAACAGAGTCGTTCAGTGCGAAGCGGAGCGTTTTTTGTCTGAGAAGGAAAAATAGGTAAGAGTTTAATCCTGGGTTGTTTCCAGAACATTTCTGCTGAGATTAAAGATCTGCGGTGAAAGCAGAGCGACCCGGTTCCGGTCGAAGGAAGAATTCAGTCCGAACCGGATGGTTTGAGAACAGTTTGGCCGAACGGTTGTGCTGCTTCCTGTTGCTATGAAGAACAGTTCAGAACCAGGGTCAGTCCGAACTGGGTAAGTTCGGTCACGTCTGCTAGTGTCAGGTGGATCAGCTGGTTCTGTGTGGTTCTGGAAGCCAGTGAGGGATGAAGGTGTTTTGGACTCAGAGGAACCAGATGACACCATCAGGTGATCGGCCATCTTGTTGTTGTTTTTGTGTTTACCTGAACGTTCAAGCTGCTGCTGACCTTTGACCCGCTGCTGACAGGCTGATCTTCCCCAAGTAAAGGAAGGTTCTGTTCTGAAGCGCCTGGCTTCACATCCTCAGGTCTGTGTGTGTGTGTGTGTGTGTGTGTGTGTGTGTGTGTGTGTGTGTGTGTGTGTGTGTGTGTGTGTGAGAGAGAGAGAGTTGCTGACGTTGGTGTTCTCTCTCTCTGGTATCTGGATGTTTCCCCCAGAACAAGGAGTTCTGCCGGTTCAACTTGGCTTCCTGCTGACACGTCTCTGATTCTTGGTTCCAGGTGGAAGTTCCTCAGAGAGGTCAGAGGTCAGGTTAGGTGGCAGCTGCAGCAGCCTTGATTATTGATCAGTGGTCAGTTCTGGACCCATTTCTTCTGATTCTATTCAGTCAGCAGAACCTCTGTGACCTCCTTCAGTGTCCTGCGTCTGATTGGCTGAAACCAGACCACCTACCCCATTTAAACCTTGGTCTCCATAGCAACAGACTAGCTCAGGGGTCAAAGGTCAGCCAGCTGCAGAGTGTTTAGAAACGGCCTGCAACTTATCCAGGCTGGCTGCTGATAAGCCCCGCCCACTCTGGTACCACAGGTCCGGTCCAGACGTGGTTTTGGTGGTTCAGTGGGATGACTGGTGTAATCCCCTTTGGGTTGTGGTTCTGACCCGTTATGACCCGCAGCATAAAGGAGCCATGTTCACAAACAGCTGAGTCAGAGGAGGCGCTTTGTTTCAGAACGGGCCACAGCGCTGACCCGCTTCCTCCCACAACCACAGCATGACCCGAACCGGCCAGGTGGGAGAGCAGATCAGAACCGGGCCAGGGTGGAAAATAGCAGCTCAGAGAGAGGTTCTGTTCTGGTCCGGATCTGTCCATTTGGACAGCCCCAGATGTCTTTATCAACATAACACAATTTAATAACAATAAAACTCAGAAACATAAATATTATAAAACTGAACCTGAAACACCACGATTGACTGGTAACCATGACGACAGGCTGGCCTTTCAATCAGGATCCAGGTAACGACGGTGACGAAATGCACCTATTGCTAGAGCGCCACCAACTGGCCCATTCGTTACTCTGCTGGTCCCAGTCAGTGACAAACTGATTTTTCCAAGAAAATGAAAGAAAGTGAACGAGGAGAGTTCATCAGAAAGCTCCAATTGTATAAAAATGTAAATAATTTACCAAAGAGAAACTGAAGATACCAGCAAAGGCTACTGGAATAGAGGCGGCGGCGCTGCTGCTGCGGCGGCGGCGCTGCTGCGGCGGCGGCGTGGCGCTGCGGCTGGCGCTGCTGCGGCGGCGGCGCTGCATGGACACCGTAGACCAGGTATCTGGAGTCTGACTCGCTGGGCCTCTCTGCCCCTTCCTGTTGGATTGATGTCAAATAAAGGCAGCTAGTGCTGAGAAAATGGAATGAAAGAACACCAGAGTAACGTGGGGCAATAAGGCATGATGTCAGGCTTTTTTATCCCTCCAACTGATCGGCGTCAGCCTGCTATGAAGCTTCTAGAGAAAACTTATAAAAATATTGTCTGAGAACATCTGGAATAAAGTCCAGGCTTCACCCTGAGGGCCTGAAGGGGGCGCTCTCCGTCTGCATG